CTAACCTGGGACTCTTCAGTCTAAAGGCCAACACTCTATCCACTGAGCCAAACCAGTTAGGGTGGAATACAGGAATTTCTGTGTAGAGCCCTATTTTCCACAATAGGCATGTTTCCTAAAGGTCCTCCAATTCTAAATGGAATAGAGATACTTGTTATTTCACCCCACCATGAAGCTTGGGCTAAATCAAATTCTTCTCAGATGACACCTATCGCAAGTAGGCAGAAATCCTGAAAATGGGGAAACCATACGAGTTCATCACAATCATCACACACACTCCCAGCATGCCCTCCCAAAGCATCTCTAGGAAAGGCATCGCCACCACGCGTCTACCATTCTCTCTAAGATTCAGGGAGTGCTGTCCGGCTGGCGTGGCTCAGTGGTTGCGCATCAACCTATGAACCAGGTCACGATTCTGAGTTCAGGGCACATGCCCAGGTTACAGGCTCCATTCCCAATGGGGGGTGTGCAGGAGGCAGCCGATCAATGATCTTCTCTCATCATTGATGTTTTTTTCTCTCTCCCTCTCCCTTCCTCTCTGAAATCAATAAAAATATATATTTAAAAAAATAAAAGTCAAGGAGTGTTTACTAGGAATCGGGCACTGTTCTGGCTGTTTTACTAATTCAATCTTCATTAAAAAAAAACAACCCTATGAGGTCATCATTTCATAAATAAGAAAACAAGCACAGACAAGATGAGCTTAGAGGGGTTATTGGGGATGAACCAGCCCCAGGCAAACTGCAAAGCAAGCTCACAATATGTCTTCGGCCACTACTTGCCCCAAGTCTGTTTCATTTAGACAGACTGCGGGTACTTTGGGAGCAGGGACACTGTATCCAGCAAAAGACTAAGCATTTGTTGAATGGATATGCTTTTTTCCAAATACCTCCAGTGGTTCTCAACCTGTGGGTCGCGACCCTTTGGGGACTGAATTACCCTTTCACAGGGGTCGCCTAAGATCATCGGAAAACACATATATGATTACATACTGTTTTTGTGATTAATCACTATGCTTTAATTATGTTCAATTTGTAACAATGAAAATACGTCCTGCATATCAGATATTTACATTATGATTCATAACAGTAGCAAAATTATAGTTATGAAGTAGCAACGAAAATAATTTTATGGTTGGGGGTCACTGCCATCACAGAAAATCTGCCTCTTCACACTTCCTCATTCAGTAATGGTCTAGTGCAGCGGTTCTCAACTTGTGGGTCGCAACCATCAGAAAACACATGTAGCATATCAGATATTTTTACATGACTTCATAACAGTAGCAAAATTACAGTTATGAAGTAGCAACGAAAATAATTTAATGGGTGGGGGTCACCACAACATGAGGAACTGTATTAAAGGGTCACGGCATTAGGAAGGTTGAGAGCCACTGCCTTAGACAGAGAAGTCTTGTGGTCACATCATTTTTCTAAATTAACCTTTACAAAATTCCTCCTAATGCATCATCCCAAACCAATGTTATTTTTTAAAAATATTTTGTATTGATTTCAGAGAGGAAGGGGGAGAGAGAGAGCGAGATAGAAACATCAATGATGAGAGGGAATCATTGATTGCCTGCCTCCTGCACGCCCCCTGCTGGGGATCCAGTCTGCAACAGGGCATGTGCCTTGACCAGGAATCAAACCGTGACCTCCTGGTCAACACTCTACCACTGAGCCACGCTGGCCGGGCTCAAATACTAGGTGTACCGGTTAACAATGCGGATTTTTTTCAACTGATGGAGTTACACATGTTGATATGGACGCGATCTGATACGTATGCTATTTTGTTGTATTGCTCCTTCAGATGACCACTTGTTCCGATCGATGGCACACGCACTTTCTGAGCAGCCCTTCAAAAATGTACAAAGGAGTGGAAAATTGGGTCTCTGAATGGTCTGCCTCAAAACAAGAAAAGTTCTATTGGGACGGTCTCCACAAATGACCTGAAAGATGGGGGAAATGTGTAGCTAGCGATGGACATGACTTTGAATAAAGAACTTTTGATGTTTGTTTCTCTTTAAATTATCGTGTTTTCTTTGATTAACTATTGACCGGTTAATAATGTGGATTAACCATTCACCGGTTAAAAATGCTGATTAATTATTAACCGGTTAATAATGCGGATGAACAATTATAAGTTAAGAACTGCAAACAGTCCATCCTAATGTTTAAAACTTTGGAAGCAGCGAACAGCTGTTTGGGAGAAGAATGGTAAAAAAAAAAAAAAAAAAAAATTCCCCACGTAGTTAAAAAACAAGCAAACAAAAAAGCACGAGGATTACCTCATCTTTACAAGAGCCTTCGGGGTGTCTTAAAGGTCCTATTTAGGGTGAGCCCCTAGGAAAGAAGACAAGCAGGGACACCTACGTGGCGCTCAGGGCGGCGGGACCCATCCGCGCGCACACATCCCCAAAAGCAAGGCCCGGCCCCTCGGACCCCCGCGCAGACACTCCCCGCGGCACCAAGAGCTCAGTCTAGACCCGACGAGACCCAAGAAAGGGACCCGCTGGCGGCGAA